TGGGGGGGGGGTTGTTGGTAGGGGGGGGGGGGGTTTGTTGGTGGTGGGGGATGGCGGTAAGGTTGGGGTGGCGGGAAAGGAAGGGCGGAAATGAGTTATTTACAATGGTGGGTAGAGGGAATATTTTGTTTTCATTTCTAAAAAAAAAGGGGGGGTGGAAAAAGTGTTCCCATATTCTGCTATATAAGAAGCGGCAGATGAGTTCCAGAGAACACAGCCGAGGCGAGGTGGAGAGTACGGTGTAGCGTTGTCAACGAGCGATTACAAAAGGGGGACAACAAGTTCACAGGAAGGACAACTCAGACTTCTGGTCTTCTCGCACCTTTAGAGGCCTCTTTATTTTTATTACAAGCAAAACCAAATAAACACATTCTTTAAATAAGAATAATAACAACAGATTCAAAAGGTAAGTGTTTAATTTTCTGCTCTCATTGTAGTCATGCCTAGCATTTATTTATAATCCCATGTCTGCATGACCCCCGCCTTACTCTTCCAGTGCTTAATCTTTGCTAGTCATAATAGACGCGAGGAGGATATTTGTTTGCTTTAAACTTTAATTATCTCTTACATATATTTCGCTTCCGGTGTGTCCTGCTTCCTCTTCAAAACAATGAGAGCGAAATGAGAGCGTTGCGGCCAAGATCCATTCGGGAATAATTGTTATAGATATGCTTTGGTATAAAGTCCAGTGTTTCTGTTCTCTTTATTAAAAAAAGTAGACCAATATTAGAGACTGAACGGATGACAACTAAGTTTATGACGAAGTTATTTTAATGGAAATGTCGGATAATTTTTTTTTTATGTTTAGGGATTTTAACAACGCAAAACAGAGTTGGTGACACCCGGGGCGGACTTTTATTTTGCCATCCCCTCGCTGACACAAACTACTACACTTAAAGAATACACATACAGCATACTCCATAAAGTATAAATGCAGTGTCCCTAAAATACCACCCCTTAAAACGATACCAAGTTGGACTAACACCCCAACTCCTCCCATGAAATGTGTCCTTCTTGCTATATGAAGAAAGCCCCTATGAGAGTAATTTCTGCCTCGAATTATTGCAGAAATCATTGACCCCGCCCACATTTCCTGCTCCCACGTGACTCCAACGTGACTCCTACAAGCACGCACTTTGGGGGGGGGGGCAAAAGGAGGCATGAGTCCTTCTTGCTATATGAAGAAAGCCCCCATGAGAGTAATTTCTGCCTCGAATTATTGCAGAAATCATTGACCCCGCCCACATTTCCTGCTCCCACGTGACTCCAACGTGACTCCTACAAGCACGCACTTTGGGGGGGGGGGGCAAAAGGAGGCATGCGTGCTCATCCCGTTACGTAATTCTGTCTGCCTTGACAGAGGATTAAAACATCCCATGTCTTCTCTTCATGCTTAAGACCTCCTGTTTTTCTGTTCTACATCTTCCAACATTTAGGATCTCGCGGTGGACCCAGCTGGCGAGTTTGTCGCGAAAGCGCTAAATCTCAAACAACAATAACAACAAACAAACCAACAAAAAAAAATCTTCCATCGCTATATCATGGATAGGATATATTTAATCTTATGAATATCAGTGATTTTAAAAGAGGGATACACTTTTAAGCAAGGGATCATTTTACAAAACCGGGGCGTGTTATTTTAAGGTTTGCTTTTGTAATTGTAGAATTCAGTGGCGACAAGATTGTGTTTACATCTTCTTCTGACATCAACAGATTGCACTATAAAACGGGGTTTGCTTTGTCAAAGAATAGCATGTACTTAATGATTCGTAATATGGAAATTGTAGAAAGAAAGAAATGGAGTAGCCATTATCACCCACCAACTCCCAACGCGTAGACATACACACACAAACACACGATATTCAAAAGGCCCAGTTCATGTTAATTAAAGTCATGGTATATCCCCTCAAATTGTTTGCGCATGACACAAGGCTGTACAAGAGTTTCCGCCCTGAACCTCTGGATTGTGCTGTCCGGGGCTGCTGTCTTGTGTTGAAATCATGGGTGCCATCAAAGAGACTTAAATTAAAGGACGATAAGACCAATGCAAGTATGTGTGGCTCCGATGCAAGTATGTGTGGCTCCGATGCAAGTATGTGTGGCTCCGCTGCAAGTATGCCGCGGCTCCGATGCAAGTATGTGTGGCTCCGATGCAAATCTTCAGAAGGTTGCCATCGCGTCAATAAAATTTAGTGCTTCAGAGATCACTTTGTCCAACACGGTTAGAGATCTTGGCTTTTACACTTACAGTAAACTTACTATGACGCCTCATATCAGTTCTGTGGTCAGGGCATGTTTCTGTCATCTACGCTCCATGGGCCATCTGCGTCCTCAGCTTAATAAGAGAGCTGCCAATGCCGTAGAAGTCACTCTAATCCATTCAATATTAGATTAATGTAATAGTTTGCTCTAAGAGCTTACCTCAAAACCAAATCCAGAGACTCCAGAAGGTACAAAATACTGCAGTGCATTGTATCGTGGATAAAGAAATCTGACCACATCACCCCAGTTCTTGAAGATCTCCATTGGCTCCTTTGACCACAAAATTCTGTCCCTTCTGTATAGAAGGCTCTGCACCTTAATATCTTCAAAAACTGATTTCTAAACACGTATCCTTAAGCAGCACGCGCTCTTCAACACAGTCCTTACGGAGAGTTCCCAGTGTGGATGGACACAGAATGAAGTCACACGGAGTACGCTATTTTGAAGCTATAGCACCAAAATTATGTACCAGCTTTTCTCAATCTTTGTGGGAAATATGAAAATGATAAAAAATCACTTTAGAAACATTTAAGGATTTTTTTTCTTTCAATAGATTTTAGGACATCAAAGGGCTATGATGCTTTAGTAGCATGTGTACAAGCGCTATAAAAGTATTCAATCATCGTCTTTTAAACTTATAAACGTATTCATAGCTACTTCCTCCGGACTCTTACATTTTACAACCGAATCCCCTGAACGTCCTAACACTCTCACATTTCCTCTCCCTTCGTATTGTCCATACCTGTACAGTTCTCCCCATGTAAAGTCATCTCTGTTTTCCATTCAATTGTTTCATTTTTTTTTTTTTTTTAATATTTATATTTACTGGTAAACACATCCCTACATATTTTATATTTTATAACTTGCTACTTTAAAGACTGTTTCATTGGAATAATTTCCAGCTCACTCCTACCAACCAAACAGTCGTTTTGATTTTCTTTTATCCATTTGTTGTTGTTTTTTTGCTCTCGGTGTTTAAGAGAAACGTTTGATTGGGTTTTTTTTTTTTTCATCATTGGTCAGGTTTTTCTCTCCCCTCTGTTTTATAATTCTTAGATACTTACCGGGGCGCCCAACCCTCGGACACCCAATTACCACTCCCGATAAGAATGAAGTGGCTACTACTCTGGACCAGATATACCGCAATTTTTTTTGTTTTGAAATCAGTCAGGTGTATACGAATGTAACGACGATCTGATGATGATTTCTTGCGTCTCAATTCTATTAACTTGAAATGGTCGACACACGATGGCGCCGTCATTACTTATCGAACTGCTGTTTGCTAACATCGCCGTTCTTGGCGCTTCGTCGCGCAGCGGTGTACATAAATATATGATCATAACCATGACATGGGTACACACACGTGCGAACCACACAAATCCACATGCGCGTGCGAGCACATACACACACGCGCACACACACTTGGACGCACACAGAGCTACGCACGTAGGCACTCATACAAACCCATCTTCGCTCACATGTGAGCTTCAACTCACAGATGCTTGCGCACGCTATCAATCAAAAACAGATGTTTTCAAATTCTTTATGTTAACTTGACTTTTGTTCATGACTAGCTGACAATATCTTCGGACTGATCATTGACCCACTTCCGGTAATTCTATCGTGCTGAAACTATAGACTTATTGCCGATGACAATACCTTCTATAGATTGTTCAAAAATACCCCGAAACACCAAAAAACCGTCCACCAAAAAAATCAGTTTGACGTGTTGTTCAAGGCCAAGATGAAGTAATGTCATGCCACTCATTTCACAAACTAAAATTCCCGATAAGTACGCTAAATATGATTATTAAAAAAATAAATATCGCAAGCGCTTTTGGTGTGTAGTATTGTCTTTTGTTTTTTTCTGGAATAGTTAGTGAAATAAATCTGCGTGGGGAAAATCGGGTAGGTCATCAGAATATTAATATAGTTCAGGGGCGTGAAAAAAATGTGCGTTTGCGAGCCTTGTGGGGGGTGGGGGGGCAGTATTGGGGATTATTTAAAACTGTGTTACTTTTATGCATGTTTTATAAAATGTTTAGCCCCACCACCATTAACTTTTTATAATTGTTTTATATCCAAATTTTGTTTTAGGGGATTGTTTAAATTTCCATCTTGTTCATATAACTATAAATTACGCACAAGTATGTATGTTTTGCCTAGTTTATTTTCAGTTTGGCATTACCAATAAGCAAGACCAAAAAAAAAAAAAACTGTTCTCATCCAGACACGCGGATCTGCTTTCATAAGTTTATGAAGCCGTTGTTCATGGACATCAGCGCAACGCCCGATCTAGGGAAGGGGGCTGCGAGTGGTGAAATCCTGTGCAATCTCCCAGATTTTAAAATGTATATAAATTTTTTTTAATAAAAAAAAACAAAAAAAAAACATGGTGACAAAATATAAATTTTGGCCAGAACGATATAAGAGCAAGATATAGGCATCCATGACACAACTAGAGATTTGTAGATGAAACTGACCGTGATCTCATTTGTTAGGGTTTCATTCAGTGGTTCTGGAGAGAGCACATAAAATCAGATAACATTTTCCGATATTATAGTGAGTTGTTTTTTTTTAAAATTAATTTATAATGAATAATGATAAAGTGCAATATATTTAATGGGATTTCTAATAGATCTATATCTATATATATTGATCTGAAACCTAAATATGCCCACGAGGGTTTAAGAGACAACATAAAAGTATCATAATAAAGAATTGAGTCAAAGCAGGTCTGAGGCTTTGAAATGAAAGTACCCGTTAACTAATAAACTTGAAATATCCCAGACAAGCGTATCATAGGCCGCTTTGAGTAAAGATTAAAATATCAATATTTGAGTAGATTAAACATTGACTCAATTCACCAAATAATTTTGATGGTCCTATTTGACTTGGCTCTTTGTTCAACATAATTTATTTATTTGTTTTAATATTAAAATTCTTTTTTAGGTTTAAGACAAATCAAGAGAAAAAAATGTAGGAACTGGTTTTTGGTTAGTTTAAATGAACGCTACAATTTTTTTTTATTTTGTATAAACAATTTCGAACGATTTAAAAAATCTATATATATATATTGGTTTTTATTGAATTGCGCCTAGCCCCCTTTCGATCGCACCCATTTCTTGTTCTATCGCTAAAACTGTATCCCCATTAAAAATATATTATACAATATTTTATACATATATTCCAAAGGCTAGATATACAACATTAAACCCATCCTTAACTAGGTGACCTGTCTTTATGAAGTGTCACACTATATCACTGGTCATGTTGAGAATATCGATCAATCAGCTAGATTCAACCATTTATCTCATCTATTCCGGATGCCGGGCTCCTAAGCCCCACAACCTCCACCAAACAACCAGGAACCCATCCGCCATGTGGAAAACCTCAACCAAACAACCAGGAACCCATCCGCCATGTGGGGACACCCAACCTCATTCCCCCCATCGGCCATGTCGTTTGCCCTTAACTGACAGATCGCAAATTCTGTATGTGTGTTCCTGTTCAAGACCATGTTTTATTTTCAAAACTACTTTTTTTTGAATTGGTCAAGCTAATTTTAAGCTGTAGAAATGCTAAAATATATATAAAAAAATATTTCTTTATTTTCAGATCACGAAAAGGGCCGGGGTGGGGTGGGAGGGGGATTTATGCAATTTTTCTTTTAAACGAAATGAGTAATTACTTATTCTAATTGTTTTGTTTGTCCAACTTCATTGGACGGAACTAATTTGAAATTACAGACAAGACTGAAAAATAATCGAGTCCTTCATCTGGGACTCAGCTTGAAATCTATTTTATCCACCATATATATTTGATAGTTTTCAAAGATTATTGTATCAGTTATTTAAAATTAATATCTAAAGACACGGCTAGTTATTTAAAACTTTCATATATATATATTTATTTATTTATTTAGGCATTTTTATATAGCGCTTACCTTAAAGCTATAAGCGCTTTACAGTTATTAAAAACATGTAAACTAACTACAAAAAAAATGAGACATTAGGATAGTAACTACTATACTATAGAAACAATTAAAATGGCTATAAAACGAGGACACTTTGACACCTTTTGGCCTATATTACAGGATTAACCCGAGACAGAAAATGAGGCAGGGCAAGGAGAGTGCATCACAGGTCATAGGCGGACCTAAACAGATGGGTTTTAAGGGACTTTTTAAAAGTGGACGAGGTTTCACAATGACGGATATGGAAGGGGAGCTGGTTCCAGAACGTGGGCCCATGGAAGTAGAAGGAGCGTTCACCGATGGTCTTAGTTTTGGTTCTTGGGATTGAGAGGGTTCTATTGTCAATGGAAGAGCGTAGTTGTCTAGTGGGGATGTAAGGAAGCAACAGTTCAGAGAGATAGACAGGAAAGTGAGGGTCAGTGAACGAGTTGAAGCATATATTGGCAGACTTGTACTTGATGCGAGAGGATATTGGAAGCCAGTGGAGTTGCCGCATGTGTGGTTGAATGTGGTCATGTTTCTTTGATTTAAAAATGAGTCTGCATGTTGAGTTCTGTGCCTTCTCAAGTTTGTCTATGTGGTGTTAAGGAATACCTGCGAGAAGAGTGTTATAGTAGTCAAATTTTTAAAGAATGAGTGAAGAGACGAGAGTTTTTGTGGCATCAAAGGAGAGGAGGTGTCTAATGGTGCGGATTTGTCTAATTTCGTTATATGCTGATCTACATATATCCATGACATGTTTGTCCATGGAGAGGGTGTCTGTAAGTGTGACTCCAAGGTTTCTGGCAGAGGAAGAGAGTGTGATGTCAGAGTTACCAATAGATATAGAAGAAGGAGCGGATGGAGGGAGATGTTTGTTTTGAGAGTGGATGACAAGGATTTCCGTTTTATTATGATTTAGCTTCAGTTTGTTGCAAGTCATCCAACGCTTTACGTCGTCCACGCACTCCTGTATGCGAAGGATTGTGTCATCAAGCTATATATATATAAACAAGAACAATCAAATTATAGCAATTTGATACAAGTCGTATAATGAAAAAAAATTATGTGATGTTTGTAAATCTGATATCAATACTTTGTACACTACATAAAGTAAATAATATAGTCCGAAAGATTCCCTCCCTTTAGTTTCTTCACAGTGCGGCTGATACCCGTTTCCTTCCCCTTTCATTTCCACCCAACTTCCTCTCCTGTCGGATCGTCTCCCATTGTCCTGGTAGTCACGGCTCACATTCTCATTTCTTGATTATAATTATGTCGTATTAGGTTCAGTTATTGAAACTTCGTTTACCCACGGCCGACAACCTCCCACCCCACACAACCCGCTTCCCAAACCAACGCTAGGGCTCAATGTTATAGCGATGACTCAGAAAGTTTATAGTCGGGTTACTGTTTAAATTGATCAACAAGGGCCTACTTTGTCTAAATGCCAGTGTTTAAATAAAACCCAGTACAGCAAAATAAACCGTAAAATACATTATGAAAGAAACACTGAAATAAACAGTAAAATAAACACACACAAAACACTGAAATAAACAGTAAAATGAACACACATAAAACGCTGAAATAAACAGTAAAATGAACACTAAATAAACACTGAAATAAACAGTAATATAAACACTAAAAATACTGAAATAAACAAATAAAATAAGCACTAAATTACATTCTGAACTAAAAACCGAAAACACTAAAATAAACACTGAAATAAACACTGAAATAGACACTAAAATAATGATTAAACACTTAATCAACACTGAAGTAAACACCACTGTCAAGACAAGTGCGAGAATATTTACAAAAAATATTTTTTCAAAAGTTCATTATCGCAATTATTTTTTTTCCCCCTTTCAAATCAATCTGTTTCAGATGAAGATGTCAGGGCTTCTCAGCAAACCCGATTATGGCGTCGTCGGCATTGTCTTCACCGTCGTCTTCTGCTGTTGGTGTTCCTCCTCGACGACGCACGCCCTGTCGATCGCGGAGCCAGGGAGGGATCGGTACGACAAGAGGTCCCCCACGGGCCACGGTGTCGAGGTCGTGGAGGTGGCCCAGTCTGGCGAGGACTACGGGTCGAACAGACCCCAACCCGTTTACGGCGATGAGGACGAAGAAGACTCCGCGGACGTGTACGTCGGCTCCGATGAAAGCTCCAGCGGCGAAAAAACGAGGCTCACCGCCGCCAAGAGGCGCCTCCGCTTTAACAAGAGGCGTCTCCGGGACAGCAAGAGGAGGCTCAGGTTCCACAAGAGGAGAGTCGACTCCGCCGACGAATCGAACGACGACGGCTTTGACCGAAAAGCGCGCGAACCGAGACTGAGGTTCCATGACGTCAGAAAGAGATCCGCCACGGCCGAAGAGGGATCCGAAAACGCGGAAATCGAAGAGTCCCATCTCGGGAATTCCCGAAGTCGCAGATCGGCCGGCTCCGCACCGAGCTCGGCTAACGAGGTCCAACATTTCAAACGACGTTCAATCACCAATGACCTGCGGGCTATCGCTGACAGTTACCTGTACGACCAGCACAAGCTGAGAGAGCAGCAAGAAGAGAACCTAAGAAGACGTTTCTATGAGCTCAGTCTTCGACCATATCCCGATAATCTTTAGGGAACCTCAGACTGATTACCAGCCTTTTAAATAACATTATTTGCCTTAAATTTTTTGAAATAAAACCATAATTGGTCTCTTTTCAAATCTGTAGCGTTTTATTTTGATATTTTAGAGCTAGGTGCATAGATAAATAGAACTGAAACCCTCCGGTGTAATTCGTGATGTAACCATTTAGAGCAGCAGTTCTCAATCTGTGGCTCGCGACGTCTTTTTGTGGTCGAACTACCCTTACACAGGGGTCGCCTAAGACCATCGGGAAACATATATTTATGAATTAGCGACGAAAATCATTTTATGGTTGGGGGTCACCACGACATGAGGAACTGTATTCAAGGGTCGTGGCACTAGAAAGGTTGAGAACCACTGATTTAGCTATTGTTTCAGTTTTTAATATAAAAATGGTGAGAACCCGTATTTAATAGACACACAGATTTGAGAGATTTGTCCAGATCTGTTGTTTTTTTTAATTCCTTGCGTCTGTGTCAAAATCAACCACTTTCCCATCCCTACACACACCCACACACAAATACAAACACAGAAGCATACATACAAAAACACATAAACGCACACTAACACACAGAAGTCTACCTTCAAAATGGCGTTCAGCCGATCGCTCTGAATTCTCAAACCCATTCCCTCGGCTCACAAACAAATCACAAACTTTAAACGTATACCGCATTGATCACACAGAAACCCCCCCACCCCCCAGCTTCTGGAATTGTGCTGCTCACGAGGCTTGTGTGGGACCAACACTTACTTCAAGTGCAAGGATATACATCAAGTATCTTGGAGACACCCTCAATCCCGCCAATGGCACCAGCTGGACCTCATCATCACCAGACGTGCACAACTAGCTAGCATCCTACTCACTCGCAGCTACCACAGTGCCGACTGTGACACGGATCACTCCCTTGTCGCCAGCAAGGTACGAATAATGAGGAAAAACTCGTACCACTCCAAGAAAAAGGGATGTCCACGTATCAATACCTTCTGCATGAAAGACCCTGAACGAGATGAAACCTGTCACTGAAGCCAAAAGGAAAGCTCTTACGGCTTACAAGGAAAAGCCTACACCCGACAGGTTGCATGCCTTAAAAACAGCCAAGTCACTTGCCCAAAAGGTTGCACGTAATTGTGCCAATACCTACTGGCTTAACCTCTGTTCCAGCATACAGTCAGCTGCAGATATGGGCGATGCAAAAGCAATGTACAAAAACATCAAAAAGGCAACTGGCCCCTTGACGTCCAAAATTGCTCCTCTAAAGTCCAAAAATGGAGAAATTATCCAAGACCGGGCAGCACAGCTAAAACGGAGGGTTGAGCACTATCTGGAATTGTATTCAACAGTTACCACAGTCTCCAGCACCGCTCTAGATGACATACCAGATATGCCACATGGAAGAACTTGATGTCGTGCCCTCACAGGAAGAGCTGAGCAAAGCTATTGATAGCCTAGCTTGTTGAAAATCGCCTGGGGATGATGGAATACCACCAGAGGCTCTAAAGAGTGGTAAGATAGCTTTACTCCAACCATTGCACGAGATTCTGTCCCTCTGCTGGGAACAGGGCTACATCCCCCAAGACCTAAAGGATGCAAATATAGTGACACTATATAAAAACAAAGGTGATAGGAGTGATTGCAATAATTATCGCGGCATTTCACTCCTTAGTATTGTAGGAAAGGCTTTTGCCCGTGTCATACTAACACGTTTACAGAGTCTAGCATCCCGTGTCTATCCAGAATCTCAGTGCGGTTTCCGGTCTGGGCGGTCTACCATAGACATGGTGTTCTCCATACGACAGCTCCAGGAAAAATGCAGAGAGCAGCAGATGCCACTGTACATTGCCTTTGTGGACCTTACAAAAGCCTTTGATTACGTCAGTCGCAACGGGCATCCCTCTGCTGGGAACAGGGCTACATCCCCCAAGACCTAAAGGATGCAAATATAGTGACACTATATAAAAACAAAGGTGATAGGAGTGATTGCAATAATTATCGCGGCATTTCACTCCTTAGTATTGTAGGAAAGGCTTTTGCCCGTGTCATACTAACACGTTTACAGAGTCTAGCATCCCGTGTCTATCCAGAATCTCAGTGCGGTTTCCGGTCTGGGCGGTCTACCATAGACATGGTGTTCTCCATACGACAGCTCCAGGAAAAATGCAGAGAGCAGCAGATGCCACTGTACATTGCCTTTGTGGACCTTACAAAAGCCTTTGATTACGTCAGTCGCAACGGGCTATTCAAAATACTGGCAAAAATCGGCTGTCCCCCTCACATGCTTGCCATCATCAGAGAATTCCATGAAAATATGCAGGGTACAGTGCAGTTCAATGGAGCCAAGTCAGAAGACTTTCCAGTCAGCAGCGGAGTTAAACAAGGTTGTGTACTCGCACCAACACTGTTCGCAATATTCTTCTCTGTACTACGAAAGACCTCCTATATGGTGAACTTGCTTCGGGAAAGAGGAAAACAGGTCGCCCACGTCTGCGATTTAAAGATGTCTGTCAAAGGGACATGAAAGCAGCCAAAATACATACAAGTGACTGGGATTGTAAGGCAAAAGACCGATCTATGTGGCGCACAGTTGTCAAAGAGGGCGTCATGTTAGCAGAGGAGCGAAGAATGGAAGAGGCTGCAGACAGAATAGCTAGTAGAAAGGCCAAAACATTTAGAAGCACGGAACTCGTGTGTAAAAACTGTGGTAAAGACTGTCACTCAAGGATAGGACTGCACAGCCACTCGAGAAAATGCAACCCAACCCAACGGTGATGCACCATCGTCTCACGAGACGGAAGGATGCCGATTATTATTATTATTATATATATATATATATATATCTTTCCCCAGATTGAGTATCGGATCAACTTGTTTAATTGACTCAAACAAAAGATATAAAGATGGCTACTTCGTGTTTTGCGACTTTTTGTGTGTTGAAATTGAAGAGTTGATGCAATCGGTCTGTTTACCTTGGTGTTGATCATTGATGCGTATTAAGATCTGATCAGTTGAATTTGATTATTATGAAACTTTTGAGGTTTTGAAACTCCCCAAGCTCTTTAAAAACCAACGGATCCTCAATTTCAAAGGTATAATGCTGATATTGGGTAGGCAGAACAGGACGAATTCTACAAATGGTCCATTGCACTAAAAATGTATGAAAAACTTTTCAGGGTATGTTTTGTAGCCATAAGTGTTTTCAAAGCTTCAACTTTGATTCCTTGGTGATTGTTTACATTTGTATAGATGCCCTTTTCGGTTCTTTCCATTGGATTAAACATATTTATTTTGAATAATTCGCAAATTGTTTTACACCCAGACCCAGACTCGAACTCACCGGAATTATTGCAAAATAAACCGATAATACGGTTTGAAACCCTGCATGGGCTAAGCCCTAGTCTTAAATGTAGTTGTTGTTTTTTTAACATTGTGTTTCAATTTGTGTTGGAACATAATGAGAATTTTACTTTTTTCTTAAAATTGTGATTTCGTGTTTTCCGAATTTGGATTTGTTAATATCTTTTTTTTAATTTAAAAAAAAATAAGTTATTTTTTTCGATCGTATTTTTAATGTCATCTTATTTTATCTTTTTTATCCAAACAGGAAAGCTACCAGTTGCGTATTGAAATGAGAAAAGGAAACGTTAGTTACTATGCAAATTATGATTATTTTATGGTGACAGAAGAGTCAGACAATTACACTCTCCATAAGGGTAGTTTTAGTGATAACACCAGTGACTCCTTGGACTGGCATAACAACAAGGCATTTTCTACACCAGATAAAGACAATGATAATTCCGAAAGTAACTGTGCTGAAAGTCTCAAATCAGGATGGTGGTACAACCAATGCTATATGTCAAACTTAAATGGAGTTTAGGGTACAAGCAGTTCAAGTGGAATTTTTTTGTTCGATTTGTTAGCTGATTTCGTTGAAATGAAAATAAGACGAAAATAAAATGCACACATCTCTCAGGTGCCTGTGTCTTTAAAATATATTAATGGGACGTTCTTAGTTGTTATTGCGTAAAATATATTTTAACTTTCTAAAATTCGATACACGCCAATTCAATCAAGACGACTGCAAGAGTAATAACATTGGCCATCGAATAGAAGTAAGCGGTCTTCACAATTTTAAGACAAAATATTTTCAATGTACAAATAAACGTTCTTCATAATTGTATACATCTCCGTTTTACAGCTATAGGATTTGCTAATAATTTTAAACTAGATGATTGTCCCTTTAACTCCGACGATATGTCTAATTTTCTATCGCTTCAGAGGGAATTTGTATTTCAAAACTTGCTTGTTAATTTGTTAGGCCTATATTTCGAGTTTTTTAAAATGAATTAACGTTCTGAAATATTCTTAAACGTAAATGCACATAACTGTATGTGGTAATTCAAAAGACACTTTAATCAGTCCCTCATAGTAATTTAAAGACTAGAATATTGTGACCCGATTTTACTGGGATCATATGGGAAATCATCTTACGCTAGTATCTACATTTTATTGGGACGAGCCAATATATAAAACTTATTTTTTCTATATGTAACTGAAAAGAATTTTGATACAATATGTCTTCAAAATAAAAATTAAAAAAAATTAAGAAAAATTTCAGTACCCTGTGAAATGTATATCAGTAAATTTTAAATTACGATTTCTTTATTTTTAACAGATGTCTACAATCATTTTTAACAGAAGTCTACAATCATTTATTTTTTTAATGAAACTATATATTTACATTTAAGCTTAAAGCCAATTCATAGAAATCTTAGTTTAGAAGTATAAAAATAAATTGCTTATTGGAATGGCTTTGATCAATCTTTTCATGTATCTTTTCATTCAATATTCTGTTGACTATGGGTATAATTTCCCATATTGCCTCATTAATCATCATGAGTCATTGATTTGTAATAAGAAACCCAGATTCTGACCATTTACAACTTATCTTCTTTTTTTTTAATTTATGATCTTAAAAGATCGATCAATTTTTAAATGACTAACTGGTGTACATAAATCACCAAATC